CCCCATGGTGTCAGGCGAGAGGATTTAGGTAAGATGAGGAGGAATATTCAGGAGGTGAGGGAGGTCTGATGTCCCTTCTGCTGGGGGAGCCTTTATATACCAATCCTGGGGACAGGAAAGGGAGGACACATGACCACTTCCTTGCTTTTATTTGGCTCAGTTGTCATGGGAACCACATAATGTATTAATTACTTCCCTTTCTTTGAGACGTCAGCTGGATTTATTAGATTGCTTGTTTATTTTTCTAAGTCACATGCCCTAAAAATTCCAGCAAGGGCCCCTGGGAACCATGGAAAAGGAGGTGCTGTCAACAGTCACGCACACACTCGGCAGGCCCACATAGCACAAGTGATGGTCTAACATCTGAATGACCCATAAGCATCATCAGGAGCCTAGTCCCGTGTGCAGCCCAGAAGTCCTCTTAACTAATGCCTGGAGAAATGAAAGAGGTCTCAGGCTCAAACGTCATTGCCAAGTGCAGAAGCAGCCCTGATACCCTCACGGAAGCTTGTTTACCCGGGAATGAAAGATTTCACTTCCGACCACATCGCTGCAAAGCAGGTCACGCGTCGCGTTATTCGGTATCATTCACATCGTGTGATTGCTCAGAAAGCACAAGCACATTTCCGCAGTGGCTCCTCTTTTGCTAGCATAATTCCTATTGCATTTAAAATAAGAAGGCATTTCCCAATCAGAATGAAAAATGAATTCGGGTGCTTGAAGTGTTTGTATCAATTGATAACTATGAGGAAAAAAATGCATGCAAAATAATATGAGCCACAATGGCAGATCGATGAAGAAAAATGAAACAAAAGCAAGAAAAAAAAAAGATACTATAGAAAAAAATTATACATGAAAGAAATATAATTACAGTAGACTATTTTGACTCTAGAATGAGTAATATTCGTATTGTAATAATTAAGTTACCATCGATAATTGATTTTACTTATAATGGTGATATAAATACTTTGGGAGTTGTATAAGAGAGTTAAAACTCCATCTATCGTAACAAAAACCCACACTGGCAATCGAGAAATAGCCGTTCAAAGGAATCAGTAAGAAATGTGACGTCAGCTCCCAGCAGACACAGCTGATCAAAGGACAATATTGCCTCTGTAGAGTGACCTAGACGGTAAGGTGAAATAGCACAGGGGACCATGGAATTATTTTAACCGTGGAGATATATTTTATTAGTTAATATTCAAAACAATCGAAACCAACCCACATGACCCACATTGCACAGCCTCGCTCGGTCTCATATAGGCGGCCCTACGCCAGCCTTAGCTCCTGCTCTAAATCGCGGACCCGATAAGGCACGAAATGATCCATTTCGGAACCTCTCAGCTCAGATCTTCGCACAAGCCAGGGGCTCTGTGCATCTTCATTAACGAATCGAGGGATCATTTTCTTTTGGGTGATTCTCAGGTAACAATATTATCTTGAGATAGTAAAAGAGGAAATGCTTTGGACATACAAGGCACTCTAGCAGATTTTCTGACCCTGGTCATTCCTGACATTTCGTGCCAGGCAGCGCCTTGTTGTGGGGGGACTGCCTGTGTCCTGTAGGGTATCAAACAGCATCCGTGGCCTCCACCCACTAGTTACGACAGCCCGAGCATGGCTGCTCATAGCTTCCCTCCAGCACTCCATGCATTTTTTACTCACTCATTCAGCAAATAAGTGAGCGCTCTATTAGGCCAGGTATTCGGCCAAGCACTAGAGAGGTAAAGATATATCAGCCTTTGCTTTCAAAGGCTGACGTCGGAGAGGGAAACAGAGAGTCAATTACAACGGAGCTTCCCAGGTCAGATTGTCTTTGCCTAGCCACTTTCTCTCCACTTCCATATCAACAAAATTTGTGAACGAAAGAAACGGGTTCTCTGGAATGTCACCTCACACAGGGTGATCTGATAAGTTCCTAACTGGACAGGTGGATGGTCACACCCAGGCCTAGAACTTCTTTAGTGAGAGGTGTTAAGCCCTGTGCACGGTTCTTGTGCATCTAGGTTAGCACACCTTTGAAATGCCAGAAGTGATACCCTTCCAAAAGGGTATGAACCCTCAAGAGAGCACTTGACCTTGTTAACTATCCTCCCCACCTTGTTTTCTCCCACCTCCATGTAATTGCCCTCAGGTCCCCTCCACAACTCACATGTATGAAAGAAACTGCAAAACCGTCATTCTCCTGAGCATTTGAGATCTGGCTCCCCAGCATATGTCATCAGTTTGACTCAAATACCCTCTCATAAAAATTCTCTACAGGTTTGGATGTTTCTTACGTCGAGAGATTCAAATAGATTTTTGTGTACGTTATTGCAGTCACATTGATAAGTACCAACGTGAGAGGCTTGCGATTCATTTTTTGGGTACGTCAATCAAGTGAGTGGTTTATACACTTTTCGCGGGGCTTTTCACGTGGCTGCCCAGCAGCATTTGACACGGCTGACCACTCCGTTCTCCCTAATACCCCCACCCCAGCCAATTTCCTTCCTCTTTCCTAATAACTCCCTTTCTCCCTCCTGCCCTCCCTCCCAGCTGCTCCTCCCCTGCCTCTTCTGTAGGATTTTTCATCAACATTGACTGGTCAAGGCTCAGAGTCCAGCCCTGTCCTCCATCGTTCTACATCCTCATCTGATCTCCACTCTCTCTTTTTACCTTGTCCACAGCATTTAACGCTTCCTAACATATCATAACATTCATGAATTTATCACATTTACGACGTTCCCTCTGCCTTACCCCATGTCTAAATGAAACATACATTCTACAAAGAAAGATTTCCAACTCTCTAGTTCCCTGACATATCTCAAGCACCTAGAACAGCATGGCACATAGTACAGTACTCAGTAAATAGCTTCTTAATGAATAGATGACTTTTTAAAACTATGATGAAAAATGTCAAACATCCACAAAAGTAGAGAATAGTATCATAACTTCCTAAGAACCATCCCCCAAGTCTGGTCATCTCTGCCCTCGCTCACACCCCTCCCACCACTGGATCATATGGAACAATTTAGACCTCATGTCAAGTCATCAAATATGTCTATGAATGAATGAATCCCTCATCATTTCTGGTTTCAATTATGTCTATGAGGCATCAGAGAAACAGAGACGTAAACTTTTCCAGATTGGTCCAATATCGAGGTCGTCTCTTGGCGAGAGGTGTGGAGGAAATCATGACACCTTCGACCTTTAAGAAAATTTCCCAGTGTTCTCTGGAGGGCCCTGCCGTTTACAAGGCCATGGTTGCACTCTAAACAGGGCCCTCCCACTCCCGAGATGCATCTTGGTTATTTATTGGCAGACTTTTCACAAATCATAGGAGGGTGAGAATAGGAAATCCAACCCAATAAAGCAGTGGCCCAAGACACCTGGGGGAATTTTAATCAATTTCATCCCCACTAGTATCCCTTAGCAACCAAGCAGTGTTTATCTTTGGGAGGGGCTTCCATTTTTACCAACAGATAAACAAACGAACAAAAAAATCTAATTCCATTTTAACCAGTGAGGACTTTCCAATGCTTTTTAAACCTCTGCTCAATAAAAAGTATTTAATAGATGAACTATTCTTATTTTAAAAATTTCAAAGTACCAGGAAACCATTCTACCCCGCCACCTTTAAAAAAAAAAAAAAAAAGTGATTATAAACATCGGCGCTGGAGCCTGAATGCCCCAACAACAAAAAGAAATCCAGGCTTCTTTATTAGTCTTCCTTCTGTATCACTTTCTTCCTATGTAGAATGGGGATCATAGCTGTACCTCTCGTATAAGTTTTGGGAGAAATAAATTCTAAGAAAGGATATATTTATAAATAGATCGACACTGCATTCAGTCCACCCTGCTTTATTACGTCGATGCTGAGTAGCAGTATATTACTTTCGGTTGTTTCTTCCAGGTCCGGAGTTGGTGTTGACCCCGACTGCGGATTCCCGCCTACAGTTTAAAGGTTCTGGACGCCTGTGACCGGCGTGCACAGGACACGGGGCGGGACGGAGCCCGAGGCCCCGCCCCCACGCCTACCTCCTGCGGGAGGCTTCACGCGGCCAAAGGTCGTGGTCCTCGGGGCTTGCTATCCCGGGATGTGAGCGATTTGGAGAAAGGCAGCCCCCTCCTATAGGTAAGAGTAGCTCTGGGAGGAGAGTTAATTGAAGAAATGCATCATGTCTCGGCCGCAGGGCTCCCCTGCCCCAGGTTCCCAAGCGCAGGTGGGACGGGTGCCTGCGCCGCAGCGCGGGAGGGGACCCGACGCGGAGGGACCCTACCTGCGCAGTGCAGTGCGCAGAACTCGCCCAAGGAGGTGTGTTTGCCCTTCTCACTTTCAACCTTCTGGAAAAGCAGGGTGATGCCGCCCGTGATTCTGGTAACGCGCCCCGTCGCCCGTGGTTGCACCTGTGTTCACGCAAAAGAAACCTTAGCGCAGAATTCCAAACCCCGGTTCAAGACTCGCGAAAAGGTCCAAGTGCAGAAAAGACAGGGGAGGGACTTGGAAGGTTAGAGACCTGGGGCTCTGCGGAGAGCGACTTTAATTGAAACTAAAAGAAAGCACAGCCGCGCGGAGACGGTTACCCGATTCATCAAATGACACGCATTAACAGTTCTTGGTTACGCCAGCGCTGCTGCTGGAAAAATGCAAAGGTTTGAGCTTGTGTGAAAAGGGTGTTGGCAGTTTGAAAAGGGTGAAAGAAACAGTAGCTTCTAAAAACACTCCTACCGCTGTCTGTACACATTAGTGTTTCTTAAGGCAAAAGGTGTGTTTTTATTAAGGTATGTATTTTAAACAGACCAACACATAATTAAATTCCAAATATGGTTTTGTTTTGTTTCTTTCCTTCAAACTGTCTTAGGAGGAGCTGAAATGGACAAAAATACTAATGTCGTTGAGTCATTATTAGCTACAGACCAACAGTGGTTACTCAAGGTTGCAGAATGGTAAATGTAATCCAAGCATAAGTATTTAAAGATGAATTTATTTGGCCTGTTGCCCTTAGCAGTTCAGGTGAAATTATTTACTGTGAATTATTTGCCTTTCTGAAATCACCGTCTCTGAACTGAGTGCCCAGCCGTGTTCATTCTGGTTGAATTTACAGTATGTGCTTACAGAACGGAGCTGAGAAGGAATCTGTATTGAGCACCTACTGTGCGCCAAGCACTAGATTGAGCAGTCTCTAAGACAACTTTGCAAGGTGGGTGTGATTATCCACATTATAAGAGGAGGTTGGGAGAGGTTAGGTACCTACCATAAATGGGACTAGGGCAGGAGAAACAGGAGCTTC